TTTTGGCGGGAAATTTTTGGCGTGAAAAAATTTCAAGGTATTTTAAAGGTTTTACGGAGTATTTACAAGTGTTTTGTAAGGTTTTACAATGTATTTTAAAAGGTTTTACAAGGTACTTATAAGGTTTTGTAAGGTTTTATAACTCAAAAACTTTATAAAAAACTTGTAAAACCAAATAACTTGTAAAACCTTATAAAATAGCTTGTAAAATCTTATAATATCTTATAAATACTTTATAAATACGTTGTAAAACGTTTTAAAATACATTGTAAAACCTTATAAATACCCTGTAAAAACTCTTTAAAATACCTTGTAAATTTTTCCCGCCAAAAATTTTCCCGCCAAAAATTTTCCCGCCAAAAATTTAACGCCAAAAAATTTGAGGAATCACTTTTCCCGCAAAAAAATTTTTTTGGCGGGAAAATTTTTTGGCAGGAAAAAATTTTACGGGAAAAATTTACAAGGTATTTTAAAGGTTTTACAAATTTTTACAAGTGTTTTGGCGGGAAAAATTGGGGGATCACTTTTCCCGCCAAAAAATATTTTGTATTTTGTGGACCTAATTTTCTTATATTTCCTTATATATTTATGATATCTTTTATTAAAAGAAAGGTAATTTAGTCATTTTGTATATAAAAGGGGTATTTTTAAAAATGGACATCCAAAGGGGGCATTTTTGAAAAGGGGTATTGAAAAAGGGGCATTTTTGTGAGTCTCCCTAAAAATATTATAACAAAACTGAATATTAAAATATTTGCATTTAATTTTTTTTACCAAATTTCAAATTCAATCTTAAAATCCTCCATTGATAAATCTTTTTAAATGATAGTTTTTTTTTAATTTTGAATTAAAATGATATTATTTTTATTTTTATTTTTGATATAGAATAGTCTATTAGGATTGGTTTAGAAAAAATCTTAGTTGGATATCAAATCTTAGATTTTCAATTCCTATTGGTTAAAAATTTTTAAAAAATTAATTTCAAATTTTCGTTTATAATTAATAAGAGAGATAAAATTAGTTTATTTTTTCGGAAATTAATAAGTATTTAAAAGAATTAAACTATTTTTTATTTAAATATATTAATTTTGTGATTACTATTGTACCCTTAATGAAGTTATTTAAAAACACTAAAAACCAATGGCATTTTTTATAATTCTTTACCTTTATAAGGTTATTTATTATCCAATGCTTCCCAATTAATAATATAGATATAAACCCTAACCGTCTCTTTTTTGTTCGAAAAACTCTAACCGTCTCTTATAAATCCAAACCGACATATAACTTCTTTTAATTGTAATATATAAACTCTAACCGTCTTTTATAAGTCCAAACTGACATATAACCTCGTTCAATTGTAATATCTAAATCTGAAATCTTCTTTATAAACCCAAACCGATATTTAACCTAACTTAATTGTAAAACCTAAACTTTAACCCTTCCTTATAAACCCAAACCGATATATAACATCGTTTATAATTGTAACATTAAATCATAATCCCTCTCTTATATATAAACCCAAACTATATTGTTATATGATTTATTTTAATGACTTACGTTAACTTTCTTTATATAGATAATATTAATTTTTTTATTTTTTAATTTTTATTATGTGATAGATTCTGATTAGTTAGAAAAAGACACGACGCTTTTATTGCTCTCCCACAACCCCGTTTTCATGCTGCGGGTCAAGCTGTCGAAGGTATCGCGAGAGTGAATAAAAGGGTTCACCCCTAGGAGTGAACTCAAATTTTTTTTGACAAACAAATTTAACCTTGGTAAAACAATGATTAAATTGTCGCACGACGTCATATAAGAAATATATTTAATATATTCCATTGGGAGGTTACCATATGGATATCTCATCATATAAAAATAAAAAATAATGAAAAAGGAAGAGAAAGAGAGTAAATAAGGGTTCTCATAATGAGATATCTACAAGAAACCTATTAGACATTTGTCTTTTTTTTTTTTTTTGTCATCTAGAATTTTATTATTGATCTTGTAATGGAACCAAGGTGAAATACAAAGCTCAAAAGAGGAAAACTAAAGCCGGCGAACAACATGAAAGTCCCCGGAGACAAAGCCGGCGGAAGACGAGATTTCCCCGGAAGCTAGGCCCTAACGAAGGGAAACTAAACATAGTAAAGCAAAAGATTTCAAACCACAAACGCAAGAGGTCGAAACCAAAAACTAAGAAAAAAGTCGAAGGCATAAACTTTAAAAGAAACAATAGACCCAAGAAAACAAGTAACCCAAAACTTCTGAAGCACCTGCGATTGACATTTACCAAGGATGCCCGCGGCCAACCCAAAAATAACATCTACCTCCTCCTATCACGATGAGAGCTGATCTCTTGAAACCAAGAACCAAGACTTCATAACCCGGCAAGCGAGACAAAAGAGTTAAGGGAACCTCGAGCACACTTCCGAATACGACTGCTGACGATTGCTGCGTCCACTAGCGTCTAACTAGAAACCTTGAAAAGGCGATCCTATCACATCAGATCAGGAAAGCAAGGACAAGAAGAAAGGCCCAACCACTCGGAAACCGAGCCAGCTAACAACCACAGCGAACAACATCAGGGAGAAGAAAGAACTGAAAACTTAGAGGTCTATCGATCCAACCAAACAAAACTGAACTTCTTCTTAGCAAGGAAACGAACCCAAAGTGATTCATAGGATGAGACGAGGAGACCGGGAACGGAAAGAAGAGCAAAGGCTGGACTGAACCTGACTAAAGCCTAAACACCACTCAACATAAACGGCTTGGAGACAGTAAGCACAAAAGCGACAATGAAAAAGGAACATATCCAGTAAAACAATGGCATAATTCACAGAGCAGCACCGTAGATCCTACAGATCCGGAACCAAACGTTTCGCTAAAACATATACCCAAACAACGCCGCTACAACCGTAACCGCAAGACCCAAGAATACACTCGCAACAAACTAGAAAAATCACCAAACGCAGGCCGCAAGCAATGCAAACAAACCAAAATAAACAAAGACAAAGAGAAATCTGACCACCGGTAGCCAAAAACTGGAGAAGCTTAGCCACCACCCAAAAACCACCGGAGAGAAACCCCACAACGAAGAGACCTCCACTACCGAGACACAAAACCTCCGCCACCACTAACAGATCCGAGAACCATGCCTCTCCTGAAACACCACCTCAAAACCCGACGCTATCTCCTCCACAAGAACCGATTTCGTTCTCGAAAAATCATGATTTGAGAAGAGACCAAAATCGAAGGCCATGCCGCAACAAGGAGAAGAAACCACCAATCCAAAACACCACTCACCCCTTCCACCGGCTAAAAGCTCCGCCGAAATCGAACCACAGCAACCTAGAAACTCAACTTGCCTTTACGAACCTCTAAACACCAACCCAACAAAACTGAAAAGCAGGCAAAAACAAAACTGAAACAGAGCAGAGGGAGGCCAGATCCGTTGCTATGGAAGCCAAAGCGATCCAGCCTCGGATCTAAAAAATTTTTCTCGGCGGCTGCTGAATGTCGAGAGAGAAAAAAACTAGGTCGTGAATCGGGTGGGATCCACGTCAATAGCAGAACTGCGTGGTATTTGACATTTTTCTTTCATTGATTGGCTTAAATTTTTTATTTTAAATTTTAAATTTAAATTTAGTTATATTTTTCAATTGTAATTTTTTTTCATAAGAAACCCAATGGGCCGGGGTTATTGTGGATGAAGACGCTCTAAAAACATGTTACTCTCGGCGTTTACATCATCGCTCTACTCTTCTACAATCCACAACATTAATGAGTTGCGAATAATTGTTATTATATGTGTGTATTATACATATTTTTGGCGGAAAAATTATGGATTTACGTTTTTGGCGGGAAAATCACGAATTTATATTTTTGGCGGGAAAATTGTGTATTCACATTTTTGGCGGGAAAATTAAGGATTATATTCAATCGGTTTAGAAGTTTTGGTTAGACTCAAATTGAAATCGGTTTAGAGATTTGGATTGGTTTAATTCAATTTAACAAAAATTGTTGGGTTAAATGGGTAAACCATTGACCTATTACAACCCAACTCATTTCACCCATCAACCCATTTGACTCAATAACTCATTTGATCCATCAACTCATTTGAGTCAAAAATTTCAACTCATTAGGGTTCATGGGTTGAGTTGAGTTGAGTTGACCCATGAATCTTGACCCATTTTGACACCCCTATGTGTATATATAAAAAAAAAATTGGTTTTATATTATGTGTAATCTTTGATTTTTTTTTTTTTGATAATATAATCTTTGATTTGATAATGAGTATTCTTGTTTTTACTTTTCGATTATCGAATATTAATTTTAAAATTTTTAACTGTATGTTCAAACAGTCTTGCGTGGATTCGAAGTAAGAATGTATCCCTCCATTCCTCGATTTATCACTGAAATCCCGGTGAGTTAGTTCTTAGGCGTGTTCCGTCCATATATCCAATTCTACCGTTCGTTTATGATTTTTGGTGAGCTATCTTAAGTTTGGCCGAGTCTAACAAACCACTCTGTTTCGCGGATTTACAACATAAAACTATGTTCTGTTGTGCTTTCTAAAATATGTATCGATCGATTAAAATGATTACCCTTAGCACACATATATATGACAATCATATAGTTAATTATCGGGTGTGGTGTTTTGATTTTTGAGATTCTAAAATTAGTTACCACCGGCCCCAGTCTAAATTGTTTCCTATCATATCATAAAAAATTCATATAAATCACTCTTCACATTTCACTTAAAATGAAGCCAATGTCCAAATTTTTCTTATACTTGTATGTTTTAAATAGGAAAATGTAGAAACTAGGCCACATGAAACCATATGAAACAAAGAGTAACAATGATAGAATACATATTTATTTTAATGAGTTGCCTCTGGATAGTTTATGTTTAATAACGATTTTAAACTCAGAAGAACTATGCGGTGTTCCAATTAAAAGAAGTAACGAAGAACGAATATTGGCGCACTCTAGCAAAACCGGTCACCTGGCTGGTCGGTCATGTTAGCAGCGTTAGGTATCTCGAAGTGCCAGAGCCTACCTGCGGAGTTGACCTTATACTTCTCACAAAGGAACTCATTGGCAAAAGTCTTCTCCACATAGCGGTCAACGTCATGTAGGAAGACGTGTGTCGTGCCATCACCTTTCCTGTTACGTGCCATGACGGCCGAGGAAAATATCGCCGCCATCCTTCCGGGCGCCACCGGGAAGTACCCCTTTGGTGCGTCCACCATGATCAGATCCCACTCGGTATCATAGAACTCATCAGGAAGCGAAGTCAACGCCAAGGGACACTTTTCGTTGTAGCGGATCGGGAAAGCTTTAGCTGGTAAACACATGGGTTCGTTCTTGTAAGTCGAGAGAAGGCGGCCGGCCTCCGAAAGGTGGGTCCGGTACTGAACATGGTGGGCCCTGAGGGATGGAGCATCCTTGAGGACGGCCTCTATCCACTCAGGATCCTCCTCCAGGAACACAGTAGTGCCACCTGGATTGAGGGAGGCCCACATGAGGGAATCACGGCCTAGGCCAAAGACTAGGAAGTTACAAGGGAGACGTTCCTTGAGGACGTTTAAAGAGATCGAGATCTCCTCGAAAGATTGTTGAGGGACGGTGTGTGAGGTGGCATAGTGAACGATGGATTGTAGTTGGATTGGGGTGGCTGAATATTCGGCTATGGACGCAGCCGTGTTCTTAGCTGTCGAGCATAGTGACAAAGTGTTGTCCGTAGCTCGGATGAAGCTTATGATGAGCATGGCGCCACCTAAAAGACCAGCTAGAGCCACCACGAGGAACCATGGCCGCTCTAGAAGGGCTTGCTTTGCACCTTTCGACTTGTCTTGAATCATGTTTGATTTGTTTTTGTTGGGTTTGGCGAGAGAGGCTGATGAGTATATGGTTATACAAGGTGAAGAGATCGGATGAGAAAGTGGAGAAATAATGCTAATGGTAGAGTCAACGAATGTGAAGCACGTCCGTCTCAATCATTAATGGCACGTATGATTGATCAATCCTCGTTGTTCTTTTAATCTAATTTACTCATTTCTCTTAAGAATATATCTCAACTGATCAAATGTAGTTTATTTACATTTTAATGAGAAATTTTTTTAAAAGGGTAATAGTAAAGATTTATAGCAGTTGAAATTATGAATAATAAATTATCAAATTTTGTAAGCTTTTAAAATTTATGACAAAAAATATCATTATACAAGTTTAAATATGAAAATAAAAGTCTAATAAATAAAGATAAACATAATAAATCTATATAATTGTAGTCAGTAACACTTTGATTTTTTTTTTAAATATATCCTATCTCTTATCAACATAATACATAATTAACTATATTAATATATGGATAAAAAAATCATCTTTACCTTTTTAAAATATTTCCATACATGATTTTTAGTATATATGTATATATATATATTTATATATGAATATACATTTAATTAAACAATTAGTTACCTTTTGTATCTCCAATGTTTCAATTTAGTTTTGTTAAAATGTAATTGTTAACTATATTAATAAAAGAATTTTTGTTTACCACTTTAATATAGAAAAGTGTCAATTTGGGGCCAATTGATAAACACTCTGTAGGCATCCTCAATTTTCAGCTTTTTATATCTAAGATATTTTTGTCCACGCTGTTCAATTTCATGGCGTTGGTCACCCATTTTAAAAGTGCTTTTCAAGGTTTCGTCCATGACTTCTATGTTAATAGCAACAAGGATATCTTAAATGTATTTAGGTTGAAAAGTATAAGTATGAAATAATCTTAAATGGACATCTTTAATTATAATTTTTTTTGGAAGTTCTGTGTCTCGTATGGTTTGTTGTAACAATAGTCACATTGTTCACTTCAAATTGTACATCAAAGATATAGTGAACAATGTGACTATTACAACAAACTCTACGAGACCGAATTTTCAAGAAAAATTATAATTAAAAATATTCATTTAAGATTATTTCATACTTATACTTGTTTTGTTTATGGTTTTCTCTTTTATTTATTATTAGTGTGGGCCTAACTCACACCCAAAAGCTAGCTCAAGGAAGGAGTATTGTCACAACACATATATATATTGCCCATGAATCACAAACCCAACCGATGTGGGACAATATTCTAATACACCCCCTCACGCTCAGAACTGGACATCTGAAGCGTGAAGTTTGTGGGACTGGACATCCACGTGTGGTCCACAATCGAAATTGGGTCTGGGCTCTGATACCATATTAGTGTGGGCCTAACTCACACCCAAAAGCTAGCTCAATGGGAGGAGGATTGTCACAACACATATATATTGCCCATGAATCACAAACCCAACCGATGTGGGACAATATTCTAATATTTATATCTTTATTTCCTTAGTTATCTCATTTATTTATCTCTTATTTCTCTTTTCTGTAATGTGGAAAGGAATTTTTTTTTTTGTAACTTCTATATTTGGAAAATAATAAAATTTGAAGCAGAAATTAATGGACTATCTCTCACATTGTATGTAAATAACTGAAATTGCATATATTGTTTAATTTACTAGCTTAACTTATATTTCATGAGATGGGATTTGGATCTAAATCCATACTCTCTCTTATTTCACATTAAAATTTACTTTTTATAAGAAAAACACGTTTTAGTCGGTATCAACTTACCGATTCTCAGTGACAAGATTGAGGGTCACCAACAACATGTAATTTATTACATGAAAAACAGAAGGACAAGGTTGAACGAAATTGATTGGTATTATATGATTTAATGTTTCTAGAAGTCGAGCAAAGTAACCAAAGCTTCTTCCAAGTCAACACTCCTCCCTTCCTTCATATTGTAGACATCTCCTCGACAGATTTGGACGGGACATCTGTCTCACATATCCAACTTAGTCATTGCTACACATAAATAATAAACTTTTAATACCAGCAAACAATGAAGGTAATTAAAAAGACATTATTAAGAGAAGAAGAGAGATACTTGTTAATACGAGAATATGAGCACACAAGCAATTTCACGAGGTTTGGCAACGTGCATAATCCTCAATAACTTTCAATAGAAATTGTTTAGACAATCTTACACCAAGCTTTGCCTACATGGAATTACTCGACACTAAGATACCCCTTAGTTTGACACCAATAAATTTCTAATGAACTTGAGACACTTAGATTAACACATAATCTAAGAATCACTCTCTTTCTCTCAAAAGCAAAAGCTTAACCTTCCTGGTTTTTTTCTCCTTGACGGCTCTACTAAACCTAACGTGACATCTCTCTATTTATTTATTCACAAAAGATCACGTTTACACCATATATTAAATGTAAAATATCCTTATTCATAAACTAATGAATATTCCATTTGATTTGAAGCTATCTCCACGTCATCTTCATTCCTTGCTCGAATCTTTTTGTGTCCAGACATTCCTGTGTAACACAGCTGCGTCTTGTCCCACTCTGTGCTGTGTCCCGATACCCTTTGTACCTTCAATACTTACCCATATAAGACCTTGCTTCCCATCCTCAATTTCTATCTCAAATGTGTGATACACCTCTGTCCAGAATACCCTCCTCAGTCCTCACCTTCTTTTCCCACAACTTGCTGTGGCTCATCCAGCATATCTCCGATCTCTATCTTCATCCCATGCTTGAATAGAGATCGAATTACCTTAGCCTTGCTGATTGACGAACTATATTCACAGTACTTTAAAGGGTAATCAACAAACGGTATTACAAGATGAGTTTGCTCTTATTATCATATTTGCACCTATAAAGCAGAAGTTAAAAAGCATGTAACAACAGAAAAACAAACTACAAAAGAGATTATCATATATGACAAACAATATTACACAAATCACATTGACCACATTGAAAGTATAAGGAGGCTTTCTAGAAAAACAAAAACATACCTTATGATGGTTAATCAGCCTTAGCATATTTTGTGTCCAAGAGTTCAACAACGTCTTCAGTCCTTTCTCGAGAGAAAAGATATGAAATTCCTCTTATAAGATGTATAGTTTGTATTACGGAAAATAGGTAGAAGGCAAGAAATATTATTTATTTTTTCTGATAATGATACAAATCTTAAAAATCAGATGATAAATTTATTCAAGGTTCTGGAAAATCTTTTTAAAAACGACATTTGTTGTTTTTGTTTGTTGTTTTCCTTTGTTGTCTGTGATTAGAACCTTCAATCATGATTTGATTTTACTCTAGACACGACTACATATAGTTGACAAGAGTAATATGTATATTCATTTGATGTATGTATTAGATGATTATAATTTTTTTTAAAAATACCAAAACCAATAGCACAATTTTAATAGAGTTTTGGAAATTCAAGATTGAATAACATTTAAGTCTCTAATTTTTGGAGGTAAAAACATTAAAATCTTTATGTTTTTTAACTCTTAAAAAAACCAATAAACCTCCTTGGTTTTAAAGTTTTCTTTAAAAATATGATCATTTGGGCTAATTTCTCTGAGAATAAATTATAGTAAAATTTTTTTTTTTTTTTCTCGTTAAAATATAAAAACATCTTGTGCTATTTTTCCTTTCGTCGAACAAAAATCTTAGGGCAAAGGTGAAATCGCCACCGCACCGCCTCCTTCTCCGATTGTCTCGCTACTACTTCTCAGACCATTCCACAGCTATGTCACAGGTAACAACACTGTCCACTCTATTCGTTGGTCCCGTCTTATAGTGCTAGGCCTGAATATCGTAGATCTGACACTGAATCGACACGGAGCTCTGCGTTGTGATCGTTTTCTATGGTTTAAGATGACTATAACCACATTGAATCATTCAATTTCAATTCCGCGACTCTGAAATCGTACCACTGATCTGTGAATCGTTTTATCTGGTTTGATTGTTGAATTTGACTGATTGGCTCTCGATTTTTTAGGTAGACAACAGAAATTCATCAGCAGCCAAGCGTGCTAGAACTGACGGTATGACATTTCTTACCTTGGAAAACTATATTGTTGTTCGGATAATCCGAGTCCATATACCCGAAGATAGTGTTTCTGTGTGTACATTGCATCCAATGTCTTGCATGCTTTTAGTATTGAAACTTTGAGATACATCACATATTAGAAAAATTGCCAATGTGTTTTGTTTTGGTTCTATTGAGTCTATAGTCAGTTTCTTTCAGCGTATACTAAGATCTTCGTCTCAGTAGTACATGTTTATAAAGGATTTTAGATTCCAAACTTTATGTTTCTCATACTACAACTATGAATAGCTGTTTGGTTTACTCTTTTGGTTGTGGATAGGGGGGCGCAGAGAAGATGATTGGATCTGCCCAAGTTGTGGCAATGTCAACTTTTCATTCAGGACAACTTGTAATATGCGTAATTGCACTCAGCCTAGACCTGCAGATCATAATGGAGTAAGTCATTTTGTATTGCAATATCGAATATTTGTCTTTCTGCTTTGAAACAGTTTGTGTGCAAAACAGTCATTGGCTTCTTGGGCTGAATTAGGATCATTTTTCTCATGTCATGATGTATAATCATAATCTTTGTGTTATCGCTCTTTTAGTAGATAGAGCTCTTTGAGTCACACATGTATAGACACTTAGGATGCTGAGTAGTTTTTGATAAGGATTTCCAGGTGTTTGTTATGAGAATAAGAACTGAAGTGGAAGACCAGCCTTAGTGTTTTGTCCAGTCTATTAGGTTTTGTACTTCGATTACATTTAAGGAAGTAGTATATGTTCTTTCAAATCTAGAACCCATATGTTGTCTATCTTCCAACAAGAGCAGCAATACACAGACTATACCAGTGGCAATTTATGATCCAATTTAAACAATTATCTACTTGGTTTTATTTTAGTTTGATCACCTTTGATGACCTATTTGTTGCATATCTGTAATAGAAATCTGCTCCCAAACCTATGCAACCTCAACAAGGTTTCTCATCACCCGGGCCATATTTAGGATCTGGGGGTCCCCCTCCAGTGTATATGGGCGGGTCACCATATGGATCTTCTCTCTTTAATGGGTCGTCTATGCCTCCTTATGACGTCCCATTTTCTGGGGGTTCACCTTACCATTTTAACTATAATAGCCGAATTCCTTCCGGAGCTCATTACAGACCACTACATATGTCTGGACCACCACCATACCATGGCGGATCTATGATGGGAAGTGGTAAGTATTTTTTAATCAGTTTTTGGTGTCTGGCTATATCTCAATTGGTGTCAAGTCTTCCATTTACCATCATTGTACCAGTATCTAATTTGGCTAGTGCATTGCTGGGTTTCTTTTTTTGTCAGGTGGTATGTATGGAATGCCTCCACCAATAGACAGGTATGGCCTTGGTATGGCAATGGGTCCTGGTGCTGCCGCTGCCATGGTATGTATAACAGTAAGATGCTTGGTTTTGATTGCATGCAAGATCTTATAAGTCCCTGGACTTGTAACATGAGCTGAAATCTTTTCACAATATATGTGCGTCATTCTTTGCAGATGCCAAGACCAAGGTTTTACCCAGATGAAAAATCACAAAAGAGAGGTATGTGCTATAAGGGTTATGCTTTTTTACATTCTATAGTGATAGTCAACTTGATATATTCTGTTGTGTTCATTTACAGATTCAACTCGTGATAATGATTGGACATGTCCGAATTGTGGTAATGTAAACTTCTCATTCAGAATTGTATGTAACATGAGGAAGTGCAACACTCCAAAGCCTGGTTCCCAGGTTTGTGCTGCTTTTTGTTTGTGTTTGACTGTTCCATAGAGCGAACATATACATTATTTTGAATTCTAGGGCTTGACTGGTTAATTCGGCTATCATAGAACAGCTTGCTTAATTAATCTTAGATGGCTTACTTGAATAGATCTTGGGATTATTATCTTGATTTCTGACCTTTAAACTCTTATAATTGCAGCAGGGTGGAAGCTCAGATAAAATATCAAGTAAGCTCCTAAAAAGTCCTAAATATTGCAGCGTACTTGATGGACTTTGAGACTGACATAGAGATATGTGTTGTTTATCAGAACAAAATGCACCGGAAGGGAGCTGGAAGTGTGATAATTGTGGAAATATAAACTATCCATTCAGGAGCAAATGCAACAGGCAAAACTGTGGAGCTGATAAACCAGGGGATCAGTCGAATGGTTCTCCTTCCCGTGCACCAGAAGAGAACGATCAGGTTTGTCAGATGTATCTATGTGGTCACAACTGTTTGTTAATAAAATGTTTGCCTCTAAAACTCGTATATGTAACAACCGTTGTAGATTTTATGCCTTGTGAAAGCAAAGGTTATTTGTTTAAGAAACATTTGACTCCGACTATGTTAAATTTTTTTAAACCCAATTTAGAGTCTCTGAACGGTGTGTTTTAATTTGTGGTCTGTTCCAGTGAGTCGTAGACATGTTTGGGGGTTGAGAAGGGTGAGTCTGATCCAGCGGGTGTCGTAATGTCAGTCAATGTCTCGTCAGGTCGTCCATGTTGAAGCGGTCTCGTCAAGTTGATTTCATGCATGTCTCTTTACCACTATTGAGTGGCTATGTTGTATTAATAATGCATAAATTGTTTTATCTACTTTGTGGTCGTCGCGAATCTTGTCTTCCTATAGAATTGTCCTTCAGGTCGTCCATACTATTTACATCCTAATCTTAGTTGGCACTTGTGGTTTTATTCTTTGTAATCGTTTTAAGACTTGGAAAGTTTTCCGGGTGATGGAGTCTATCTAGGGGATGCAACTGGTCGTTGGTTTTAGACATTAGAATTTCATTTTTCTTAGAAAAAACTGAAACATGAACTAATTTAAACTAAAAAGTAAACTAGCACTAATAAAATTGCAGAATGGAATGAAAATATTTATGTACTTTTCATGTTTCATTCGTTTCTATCTCGTTAACTTTTGTTCCGTATTCTTATTGTATTTAGTATTTACCATACGGAGCCTGAAATAGTGCTGAAACTGTTGCTAAGTGTTCAACCACCATGATAACTTCTAGGCGATGAGATTAGATGGAACCATGGAAGAGTAACTTAAGCGGTGGTTTAAGTGTACTAACAACATTTAAGGTATTTTAGTCATTCCATCATTAGTTGTGTCTAGCAAGCTTTTTCTTTCGCAAGTTCTTTGTTTTCTTGTGTTGATGCAGAAGATATATACAAATTGTAAACTTTCATACATTTGGGAAGATTGTGGTCATATATATACATAGTCTTCTTCCAATATTTATTTGCACACAACAACATATCACAAACACAATCATAAACATATCACAAACACAATCATAAACAAGTCACGACAAGGTAGAGCACTCTAACAAGAAATTGTTTCTTGCAAGTGTAGCAGTTTGTGATGCAGGCTTCAGCGACCGCGAAATAACACTGTGATAGTGTCATACCAGAAACTAGCAAATGAGGAGGTAGTTCCATGTGATGGTGTCAATTCATTGCATATCAGAGGTGCAATAGGTATGCCTATGTCAGTGATATCAAACGTTATGTTTGGCATAATCTTTTTTTGTTCAAGATATTCTGTAATATCTTTCATAGTAGGTCTGTTTTCCGGGTCTCTCTGAGAACAGAGCATGCCTAGCTTCAAAAGTAACTCGGCCTCTTCAGTGCTAAAGTTGCCTGCTAGTTTACTATCAACAGTATCCATTAAACCACCTCTTCTCCCACAACTGGCAACCCATTCGACCAAAATCCTCTGTTCGGGTGATCTCTCTGGGTCTAGTGGCCTCCTCCCGCAAACCACCTCAAGGATGAGAGCCCCAAACGCATACACATCAGTCAACTCGTTAGCCACGCCCAATGTGGAAACTTCTGGAGCCATGTAACCAATGGTTCCTACCACACGTGTGGGTTGAAGATTCTCGCCACGATCATGGATTCTAGCAAGCCCAAAATCTCCTACTTTCCCATTTAAATTAGAATCTAGAAGAATGTTGCTGGCTTTTATATCTCTATGCAACACAACTTGTTCCGAACCTTCATGTAGATAATGAAGAGCAGAGGCCACTCCCTTTATTATATGAACTCTCTGAGACCAACTAAGATTGTTTCCATGGAACAAGTAATCCGAAAGACTTCCATTTGGCATGAACTCGTAGACTAATAGCAATTCACCTTTCCTTCTGCAATAACCACGTAGTCGAACCAAGTTCCTGTGACTTAGGCTGCCCATAGTAGCAATTTCTGAAACATACTCTTGCATTCCTTGTTCAGCTCCATGAGAGACTCTCTTAACTGCAATTTGTGTACCATCAAGAAGATCTCCTTTATAAACCTTGCCAAACCCTCCTGCTCCAAGTACTCGGTTCTCCTTGAAACCTTCGGTTGCTTTGTAGAGGGTCCTAAAGGAAAATCTTTGAGGACTATATTTCTGTTCCCATTGTTCAAACACCTCTGCAAATCTTTTTTGGTGGTAAAAGTATGCAATTCCACTTGCTATAACAAAAAATGCAATTGTTGCTGTAGAAGCAAGTATAACCGGTATATGATTAGGCGGTGGTCTAGGGAGATCCAAAACTTTAGAAATGTCAAGGCTTTGTGCTTTTCCGCCTATAGACAATGCCCATCCAAGGATGTATTGGTGACTTCTGATTGTACCTGTCGAACCCGAAAATCCAAAATGCATATGCTCTTTGAAGATTTTAGAAAGATCTATAGATCTTGACAAAAGAGGCAAGCTTGGTTTTGGGATCTCGAGTGGAGCAAGAGTTACATTTAGCAATCTTTGCTCGCCATCATATTCTATCCAAATACGAATTCTTTGTTTGCTTGCAAGCACAAGGCTTTTCCTCAATCCTTCGGTATCATCAAAGTAACTAGCATCAGCAGAGTAGACGGATACTATACTGTTTATATCTATCCCTACATGGTTGTCACTTTCTTCAAGTGCTTCTGAGCTTGCATTAGTGTCAAGTTCTATGGCAAGGATATGATTTTCGGTTTTATTATCATTCGTCCTATTGAATATCCCTAGATAAGATGTTGCAGCGCCATACCTTAGATCAATGGTTGGAGATACAAGAAAAGCCATTCCTTGACCGTAGCTGGTACTTTCCTCTGGTATGATCGCAAATACGAATTCAGTTGAAAATGAAAAAGAAGTGTTTGTGAAATTTATGGGTGTTTTGTGGAAGGCATGCCCAGTGGCTTTTTTTGAACTATTAGTAAGTTTCAACCGACCATCTTCGATTGTTGCCATTCCATCTACGTAGAGATCTGCTTTCCTGAAGTCGTAATGCACAAATTGGTTACCATCTTGAGCTAATGCCACCGAGATCACATGGACTAAAGCTATCATCAAGAAACAGAGTAATTCCATAGTTTCAACCATATGAAACAACTATGATTCTTTTTTCTCTCACACAACCCCAATTAGTCTCTAGATTTTTGAATTGTTTCTGTAAACTCACTTTCCTTTTTATTTTTCTTCATGAGAATGTTGGTTGACTAACAGAAAAGGTCAGCACAGATGAATCAAAGAAATTAGAGAGAAGTATGAGAGTTGACCCTCAGGAAATTTCCTTTCTTTTGAATTGGTTATATATATATTTTGATTTGATTGAATTGGTCTTGGGTCACTATGCTTATATATGGCATCATAGCTTATTTTAATCAGCTTCTTTATTTATTCCATGATCAGTATTATATGGGTATAAGTTGTTTTTTTAATAAATATCTAAAATATCATATATAAATTTTGTGACTTATAAGAAAATAGACGTTATATTCAATTATAATAATCAGACTCTCATAGTGTTTCAATGACCATAGTTATTAGACGTTTTTGATGTCGATCGAGAAAGATTTAAACAATCATCAATATAATGATCAAAGTATTGTAGTGTTTCTAATGACCATGGTTAGTATAAGCATTCAACGCGGTTGAAAGTAATTTAAAACATTTCTATATATATATATATTAATTTTATTTATTGCTAATGTTATTTATCAAATCATCTACTCTTCTTTAACTGATAACCCATTTAACAAAAATCTTATATTTGGATATATCTCTAAATCTACTTGGTTTCTCCCGTAAACAACTTCAAAATTGTTTAAATAATTGTTTTTGTTTCAATTTTTGGTTTAATAGAATATTTGTTATCTTAACTTTTTTTTCAATGTTTATTGTTTTCAAAACCATGATGCAAAGACAAGTTTGTTTTACATCATTTTTTAAAATACAATTTGTGTCGAATAAACTTATGTCTCAAAACTGTATTTCACATATTTGAAATTCACGCATATTCTCAAAATTAACAAAATTTATTTTTCTATTTGTTTGTTCATAATTTAATTTGATAATCTTCAAGAGAACAATATTAAAACTATAAACAACACTCATATGGGTTAATTAGTTTTTTGGTAAGTATCTACAATATTCAATGCTAACTTTGATGATATATATATATATATATATATATATATTTATATAAAAAAGTGATCTTCTTTACTAGATCTAAGTGTTTTGGTCTTCTCATGATCACATTTAATGCACGAAGTTACCGTTGGTGGAAAAAGATTTAAACAATCAAAAATCATTTAATTTGTTTTCTATTTTTTTGTTTAATTAAATATTTATTTTCTGAACATTTATTTAAATGATTGGTGACTTTAACCATGATGCAAATACATGTTTGATTTACACATGCAAGAGCTATTTCAACATCTTTATGGGTCATGTTTGTGATGAATTGACAAATGCATATTTAAATAAGCAATATCTTGAAATCTCATTTCACATGGTTAATTTATTCATGTACTTATCAAAAATATGTTTCTTTTTTTTTGTCACAACATGATTGGTAATGATCTCTAATAAAACGATTTCAAAACTATAAACAATAATTTTGTGGGCTAATTAGTTTTTCTCGTAAGTAATTACAATTTTCGATGATACATTAAATAATATAGATATATTAGAAGTAAATTTTGGCTGTACAAACGAAATTATCTTTATGTTTCTACGATCATAATTAATACACGCGTTTGATGTTGGATAAAATTAATTTAAACCATAAATAATTATACTTTGTTTAAATTTTTCATTTAATCGAATATTTTTTTTTATTAATATTTTTGAATCTGTGATTTGTAGTCATGATACAAATATTTGTATGGTCCATAAAATTAACCAATTTTTAAAACCAATTTTGGGTCGAATTGACCTTGCATATTTGGAACATCAATATCCCAAAATCATCTTTCATTTCTTTAGAATTAATCGATGCGTTTATGACAAAAGTTATGTATCTTTTGTCATAAGATGATTGGCAATTTACCTCGTACATAACAATCTCTTGTGGGTTAATTAGTTTTTTTTTTTTTGAAGTATTTGCGTTATCTTGTAAAAACTTTTAAAAATGACACAATACATCTTTTAAAGAACAATATAGGTAATAACAACTAATATAGATCAAGGTATCATGGTGTTCTCTCGATGATGCTTAATACACACGTTACACATCGGTTGAAACTGATTTGATAAATAATATACCACTCAATTTTGTTTAATCAAATAATTACTTTCCCTAGTCTTTTAAATGATTTGCGGCTTTTAACCATGATGCAATATATGTCTGGTTTGCATAAGTAAGAAGTAGCTATTTGCCTATTTCTTTGAGCTAATCTAATATGGCTGTTGACGGAAAAAAAAAAAAAGTAGCTATTTCAACATTTTTTTTACTAAGTTTATATCGTATTGACCATGCATATTTTCATATCTCTTAGATTTATTCATGTATTTATGAAAAACATTTCTCTATTTTTCGGTCACAACATTATTGGTAATTATTTTCAACTAAACAATTTCTTATATTTGCTATTGTGTACATCAAGATTAGACTTATAAAGACATGAGTAACGAGTAATGACCGATTTACTAAACCAACAATTTGATTTAAATCGGATCTAACGCTACTGAGCCTGCATTTTTTTTAGTATCAATTGGGCCCAGTAATAAGCCCATTAATAGGCCCAACAGAGAAATTCCCGCTCCTGGGACTGCATCTTTCCCGCGCTTTTCTCGACGAACCCTTTCTTCTTTGACGCAAGAACTGAGAACAGTGAAGAAGAAGAAGAAGAAGAATCAGTAAAAATGGAAGTAATACGCTCTCAGAAGCGAACAGTCTCCAACGACGTCGTTTCAACTCCAACGCTTCCCCTCTATCTTACAGCTCCACCCATGGAAGTCCGCTTAGAAGAGTTCGAGCTCTTCGCCATCGACCGCTTACGAGGTTTCAATCAATTTCAATCCAAAATTTTGTTCCTTTCGAGGAGACTCTTTCTTGGTTTTTGAAAAGTTTGTTAATTTTTTGTTGTGATAGTTCTGAAAGGAGTCTCAGATGGATTAGCTCGTGGACGAAACCCTAATGAAATGGATGATCTTGTAAGTTCATAAAAATTTGAACTTTTAGTGACAATTTCCAGATTTTTGTTAATCAAATTCAATTTCTTTTGATTATAGGTAGAGACTTTGTGGAGAGAACATATGAGACTTTCAGATGTTTCAGAAATGATCAATAAAGATATAATCTCGCATTTCGTTCTTCGTCTCGTTTATTGTAGATCGTAAGCTCTTGCTCCGTGCTTTGGATTTTGTTTATCGTAGATTTTAGTTTCTGTAGTTTATTAACTTAAGTATTTCTGGATCTTTGCTTAAGGGATGAGTTGAAGAAATGGTTTCTTAGTATGGAAACCGCTCTTTTCCGCCATAGATTCCGGCGTAAAAAGATTGAAGAACAGGTACTTCTGTGTTCTTTTTTTGTTCGGTGAGCCGAGATGTGGAATGGCGGGTAAATTTCGCTTTTTGTGTTTGTTCACAGAGAGCAATTGTGGGAGAATTTGGACTACCGTACAAGGCAGTCATTGGGGCAGAACTTGAGGTAATTTTTAGATTCAGAGTATATAGAAAGCTCATTGTCTTACAATATTTCAGGATTGTGGTTTATTCAGAATTCAAATGATTGAGAGGTGAAGAAATTGATCTTTGACCATTTGCAGAGTTTGAAGGAGAGGTTGGGGCTAGTTGCACGTTCACTTGGTCAATCTGATGGTAATGATACTAATTAAATCTTCGATCCCTTTTCTGTCTCTTAGTAGGGACATGTTGTATTTCGATACGATTTTAGCTTCATCTAGCTCTAGAAATTATTTCTTCTTCACCTCTCTGAGCTATTTAGCAGTAAAACTTGAACCTTTTCTAATGGAAACTTGAATCTTTCTTATCCTTTGCAGTTGAAAACATATATTACAAGGTAGATCTGTCTCATCTTTTGTATTTGTTCAATTGTTCATGTACTTCAAGCTAGATATTTATTCATCTGATCAATTATTCATTTTCACCTGAAAAAAGGTTCCTTTTGAAGAGGTTCCTGACCTTGTAGCTGGCCGGAGAGTATTATTACAAAAAGGGTATGCCTTTGTAGCTGGCAGTCAGGCAAGTCATGGTGTCTATTTTAATTTGAAAACATAACTTCTACTCAGTAGATAGTAGTGTCTCTTTCGATAACTCAGATTTCCTTATTTATCCTTGCAGTTGGTTTCCCTTGTTGTCACACAATTTCGATCTCATTTGTCGAAGGCACTCATTCTGACAAACAGGTTATAATGGTTATGTGAATATTGAAAAGCTTCTCTTATATCCCTCACGCTTTATTAACAAGATTTTTCTTTTTGTTTGCAGAAAATGGACGACTACCATTCGAGAACGAGAAAAAGACAGACTAACTCCAGTAAGTACAGTGCTGAAATCAACTGCTTTATTTCATGTCCCTCGTTTCCTTTAACTTATTGTTGTTATTATCATTCAGATAGTAGAGGCGTTATCTACAAGCTATTTGGGTCCTGATTATTCTCAGGTGAGGATCGTCCTTTAAAACTTGTTATATACATATATAGATTTGGAATGACTGAAGTTGTTAATATGTCTCCACAGTCAAGTGAGTACGCTGACATATCACTTAAGGATATTGATCAAGTTTCCAAGAGTTCCTTTCCCCTTTGTATGCGGCATCTATTTGAAAAAGTAAGCTGCTTCATGGCTTTCATATCTTATATTCTTTATTAATTACATATCCTGCTCCCATGCAACTGTAACATGTGTACATTTACACACAGCTTCGAGAAGATCATCATCTAAAACATGGAGGAAGAATGCAACTGGGTCTTTTTTTGAAGGTTTCTCCTTATACACTATCCCCCTTGTTAAGATTTGTTGCATTTGAATGCGACTTGATGCAGATAGATTCACATCTAGATTTGAGGCTAGACGTAATAACATTTCTATTGGTCAAACATCAAAGTAAATAAGCCACCAGTTCTTTTTTCATGTTTTTTCTTCTATTTGTACCACTTTGAAGTTGTCTATCGGCTGTGTAGGGTGTGGGTCTGAAGTTGGATGACGCCTTAGCGTTTTGGAGAGAAGAGTTCACAAAAAAGGTAATTCGATTCGCAAAAGTTTCTCGTTGTCCTCACCCTTTTTCCATGTTTTCCTGTGTGCTAGCAAATTTGAATAAC